GCCCTTCGAGGCCGCGGGCTGCGAGCTGCCGGGCCAGCCGCTCCACGGCCGCTACCGCCTGGGCGGGTGCGACCCGCCCGCCTGCAGCCCCGTGCCCGGCGCCCGCGTGCTCGCCGCCTTCCTCCTGTACGCGTGCGACCCGGGCTTCCAGCTGGCCGGCGCGCAGGTGCTCCTGTGCGACGCCGCCGCCTGGTCCGCGCCCTTCCCCGTCTGCGACGCAGGTACTTCTGCTGCTTCTTCTTCTTCTTCGGCGCCTTCGCCTTCTTCCTTCCTCGTCTTCGTCGTTCCCTCCGGCACATTGCTTCTAGCTCTCTATTCCTTTCTTTGGCGTCATTTCTATTCCATAACACACTAAGCCTTCTCCCTTCATCTCATATTCTTCTCTCTCGTCCTCTGTGCCCGCCCCTCCTTTGTCCGGTCGGCGCCCTTCCCCGTCTGCTCCGCAGGTACTTCTTCTTCTTCTTCTTCTTCTTCTTCTTCTTCTTCTTCTTCTTCTTCTTCTGCTTATTCTTCGGCGCCTTCGCCTTCTTCCTTCCTCCACTTCGACGTTCCGTCCGGCACCTTCCTTCTCTCCCTCAATTCCTTTCTATCTCTTCATTTCTCTTCCATAGCGCCATCCTAAGCCTTCGCCATCTCATTTCCATCATATTCTCCTCTCTCGTCCTCTGCGCCCCCTCCTTCGTCTGGTCCGCGCCCTTCCCCGTCTGCGACGTAGGTTCTTCTTCCTCTTCTTCTTCTGCTTCTTCTTCTTCATCTTTTTCTACATCATCATCTTCTTCGGCACCTTCACCTTCTTCCTCTCTCTTCTTTTTCTTCTTTCCATCGTCCTCTTCTTGTTTGTTTCCTCCTTCACCTTTCATTTCGCCTTTCTCTCCTTTCTTTGGCACATTTTTTTCAAAACACTATTATCACTTTTTAAGCACATATAAAAAATATTTTCGTTTTTAGCACCTAAAGTCCGAGTCCTATTGATCACCTTTCATGTCTTGGAGTTGCTTTCAATACCCGATCCATCATGTGGAATTTGTGGTGGAGAAAACAGTTGCGAACGTTAGCCTGCGACTCCTTTCAGTCCATCATTGTTCTATTCATCCCCACCTCACATAATCATATCTTCCTCTTCGAACCAAGAGCGAAAAAGGTATCTAAAAGGAGACAGAAAAATAAAGATTGAACGAGAAAATGAAATTATTGATCTTACAGTGGTCAGGGCATTAGTTAATGATTAATTTGGTACTTGGCTTTTTGTAAAATTTGCATGGTACGATTTTTAATGTTATACGCTAATTAAAAGTAAGAATGCAGTACCTTATAGACGAATAAATATGTTAGTCTATTTTGTCAACCACTAGCTACTATAATAAGTATTCTTTGAAAAGGTTTTTATTGGGCTTTGGCGCCAGCTCGGTGATGGGTAATTACATCCCGTCTATGAATTGTGAGAGAAAAATGATTGATTTGTTCTTATTAATTTAGATGTAACGGTGATTATTTTCATTAAGTTGAATAAATATACATCTATATAGGCAAATACTTTCTTTTTCATTTACAGAGTATCAATCCCAATAAGATAAAATATCATTGTATAGTGGGTGAAGCGCGGTCAGCTTTGCAGCAAATTGAATACTGCCGAGCCACCTTTCTTACTTTCTCGTTTCTGCATACGCAGTACAGAAAAAAATGTTGTAATGCTGCGGGAAAGAATGGCGGATTTTCCGCAGAAAAACATACATAGTAAATTACTTCTTTTAACTCGATATATAGTGAGAATCCATGTTTGGTAAGTCCTTGATACTGAAAAATCGATTGACGGCAGACGGCGTCAGTCCGACCGTCCATCCACCTGTCCATCTGCATTCAACGATCGGCTGAGGCCTAAACCGTTCTGCCGATTTTCTCCAAAATTGATATTTCTCAATCGAACTGGACGACGTCGCTGCGCCTTGAATTTTCAATCGATATTTTAATTTTGGGCAGTACTTTACAGCAAACCCCTGGGTCATTTTCAAAATTTTCAAAAATATGAGTCAATTTTTTTTATTAAATTTTGTTGTCGGAGAGCGTAAAAGAAGATTGAGAATGGTGCAGATCTCATTTTCGTTGAAATCTCTGATTTTTCAAAATTGCAAAAAAATGGCGACTTCTTACAACTTAAGTATTGGTGATAGAGATTTTATTCCATAATGAAATCTATTCTTTAAAAAAAGTGTTTGAAATAAGGTCATCTACAATTTTTCGAAAATTTGAGTAGCTTTTGAGTGAAATATAGACATTTACTAATTTTTGAACATTGTTTATTCAAACAATTTTTTAAAAATTTATTCTCGTATCAAAGGATGGTAAAAAATGGTGCAAATATCATTTCCAGCGAACTCTGTATTTTCGAACATCGGAAGTTAAATATAATAAATAAATAAGTAAATATAAAAATTACAAAAAATTTAATGTACATTTTCTTGAAAAAAGTAGTTTTGTGTAATTTGTGTTTGAAATTTATATAATTTCTAAAAAAAAAATATTTTCTCAAAAATCACCCCAATTTTTTTTCACGGATAGAAAAAGAAACGCTTATATGAATGGCGCAAGCCTCCGTTTCATAAAATACTCCGTATTTTCGAAAATTGCAAAAAAAAATTAGCAAGTGAATACTTCACAATTATTCATATATATTTTTGCTTTAAACAAAATCGTTCTAAAAATCAGCTCATTAAAAAAGCTCATGTACAATTTTTGAAAAAAGCTAATAGTTTTCGGTTAATTTTTGCTTAAAATTAATGAAATATATACAGGAGTCCCACTAATTGTGACCCACGACAAAAATTCTCACAGAGTAGAAATGGATCAATAGTATATACAAATTTCCTTCCTTCTCCCAAGTTCGTCTCTGGATCAGCCCCTGATGTACACATGTACATTAGGATGCAAGATTCAAAGGTTTATGGTCGTATCTGGAAGGAACGTATGAAAGATCTTGATGGACTGGTGATAACGAAAGCATGGAATGAATGATGAGAGATAGGGGAAACGGAAGACCTCTACCTTAAATCTACAATTATTTTAAATTATGCATTAAATTTAATGTACAAATATATTAAGCTCCTTTTAATGTTAAGGTTATATTAAATTTAATGTACAATACATTAATCTACATTCAATTTAATGACTAGGGAGATGATTTTTATGCCCTAAAATCTTGAAATATGCTTTTTAAAATATTCATTTATGTGCTAAAAATTCTGAAGTACGCATTTTAATATGCATTTAACATTACCAATATTTCATTTCCTGTATAAACCTATGTTGATAAAATTTAGGAGAAGCATGTTTATAATGAAAAAAATTTGTGCAAACATAATAAAAACTAACTTTCTTCTCGGTAGAAATAATTGAAGTAAATATGCGAGTTAGAGAAGTACTTTGTAGGCCTTCTTTCACTTGTTCTATCTGGTTTAAAAAAATGATACAAAAAATATCCTACATTTGCACAAGTATTTTATCATCTACAGAAAATAAAATAAAATGTAAATGTGACAAGCTTTTCTAATCACTCGCAAATAAATATATTATATGAAAGCATGAAACGTTTTCTCTATTTTAACGAAAAATTCAAAATATGCTCCTATAATTACGCAAATATTCACCAACAGAAAAATCTGCAAAATATGCAATAACATATTAATATACATCGCATCTAATTCTAACTAAATGTCAAGAAATTTCACTTAGCTTTGCCTTGAAGCAACGGACAAAAATATGCAAAATCATAGAAATCTACTCCCTATTAATAACTTTTCTGACAGCGTAGAACAACGCCGCTCGCGACAGCCGTCGAGAACGTAATAATTGAAGCGGAGTTGCCGGAAGACTAGGTACATAGAGGGGGTGCGGCGGACCACAAGAGGAAGGGGGTGGGGAGCACAGCGAGGGGAAGAAAGAGATTTCGGTAATGGCACGGGCATTTTTCGGGCCACTGTACTCTGAATACAGCACCATGAACAAGCCTCTTTCATACTTCTCCAGGAAGTTCATATATTACATCTCGAAGGAATTCCGTAGAATTGTCCGACTTCTCGTGACCAATGACGTCTGTCACGAGAGTTTTGCGTAGGAGCATTTCTGACCGCCAGCAGAGAGCACTTACAATTTTCTTCTTCCAGTTGCGTGCCCACCGTTGAACGATCCATCGAGAGAAATTGAGTGCAGGCTCAATGATGAAATTGTGGATTGTACTCAGCGAATGCCTCCAGGTACCAAGGCATCCGTGAGGTGCAATTCGTATTACAGTCATGGACCGGAATTTTCCAGTTTCGACACGACATGTCAGCCCAGTGGCCAGTGGAGTCGAGATGTCACGTCTTGTGTCCCAAGTATGTACTCTATTATTTCTTTTAGTACTCGTTCTACTGATATATTTTTCAAAAAGAGTACATTATTACTGATGAAAATTTAAATTTTTACTTGATCCTAAAACCATACTTCAGACGAAGTTAGTGTAATATGTTTGAACATATTTTTACCGTCAAATATTTTAGAATTTATTTTTAGTTGAAGTTAGAAAACAAAGCATTAAATTTAATCAGTTATTTAAATAGATTTAATTGAAATACATATTTAAATTAAAATTATTTACTATTAGTAGCACATACAATATTCTAGTGAATTGCAGAAAAAGTGTCAAAAGAATATAAGATAAGTTTCGTTCTGGTTTTCTTAAAAAAATTGTAACATTCAAAAATACTTCAACATTGTGTCTTTTCAAAGTATTATTCGAGTAATTTATTTTTAATGTCACCTTTGCTTCACGTTTTGCGATAATTTTATTTTGAAAATGTGTTCACTTAGGGTGCGGCGATGCCAACCCAGATGGGGTACCTTTCATTTCCCACGGAAGAAGAGCAAACTATGCGGAATACCCCTGGCATGTAGGTTTATATCGGCCTGCGGATGGAATTCTCAAGCAAGTTTGCGGTGGCAGTATAATTTCGGAAAGAGTAATAATTACTGGTAACTATCTTGTAATAATTTAAAATATTTTATGTTCACTTAATTGTATTTATTAGGTGTGCTTATTAAACTATCCTTATCTACTAAACTTACAATCTACATTTAATTCTAGTTTTATATCTACGACATAATTTTTCATATATACACATTTGCATTGGTTAATAAAAAAAGAAAAAAATTAAAAAAGATAAAATTAATATAACAGTAATAAAAATAGTAATATTAATAAGAGCAAATAAATAAATAAATAAAATGTATAAAATAAATAGCCGTCCGGATAGCCGAGATCACTAAGTAAGTAGCCGTGCCGTCGCCAAGTGCAGTAGCTATCTCGGATGGAAGGATGGCGGGTTCGAGTCCCGCCTCGTGCATGGGTGTGTGTCTCTCTGTGTGTGTCGTCCTTTCACCCATCTTCCATACCCCCAGGGCTAATACTCTTGGAGATGATCTACAAGTGGCGTGAGTAGGTACTCGGCCGCTATGAGTTTACGAGTCACTGCGAGGTTAGGAAGTGGAGGTTAGAGTCGAGGAACTCCAGGGTGTCAAAAGAGCAGAGGTAACAACTGAGATCAGAGACCGCCTGATAATCATAAGGATAGTTGCCGTAAAATGCCCGATGATGATGGAAACATTCTGTCAGTTCACCATTGTTTTCAGCTGCTCATTGCTTCTGGGACGATAGCACGTCGCTCAAGTTGGACTATAAAGATGACAAGGTAGCAGTCGGGAAATACTACCTTGACTGGTATAACAAAACCAAGTATGTGCAGACTCCAGAGGTACGTACTAGAATAATCAGAATAATGTTTATTTGTTAACGTGTCAGCTATGCTACGTTGTTGTTTGCAGATAGACCACGTAGTACTTCACGACCACTTCAAAGGTAGACAACGTCGTTACGAAAACGACATTGCGTTAATCACACTGAAAGAATCGATTCGCATGACTCAAGCAGTTCGGCCAATTTGTGTTGACTTTGATAAAGAATATATAAACCATTTCTCGCCGGGTACAAAAGGAATCGTAAGTAGTCATTTCTAACCAATTCTATTGTTAGTGTTTTTCTTGAGACAGGGGACTGTCAGAAGACTCGTGTGTTATTGTTATCGTGGATTAGTCTAAAAGCATGTTTCAAAGAGATTTGACGAACTCCAAGATAACCATTAATTTAATTACTTTTGCTTCGTAGCACCATGTAGGGCATATTGTGTGACGGGGATGAACCTGTTACCATACTTCTTTCCCTCTAAAAAAACTTATCAGAAAATGATTATTTAAACCTTGCTCAGAGACATGTTTACACTACAAGTTCTTGTACATACTATGAACGTACGGTATGAGACAAAAGGCTTTATTTTCCATTGCAACGAACTCCTATGGCTTCATCTGAGGTTGAAATGGCGGTATGATCGCCCAAAATTTTGTTACAAGAGAACAAAATACAGTTATATAGGTAGTCTTATTCTAACCTGCCAGCACTAGCATGCCATAGACGCGTACGTTGTTCCGCCTAGTTTTTACGGAAGAAACGAACCTACAACAACTATTACAGCAGACGCAATTTCTATTTCTTCACTCACTTAATTTTCTTGTTTTACCTTCAGGTTGTTGGTTGGGGAATTACTGAAAGAATGAAGCAAAGTGAAACGCTTCATACAGCAACGTTACCACATGTTGATTTCCGTTCTTGTGAAAAAGAAGTACCTGAATCATTTCAGTCTTTTCTAACATACGACAAATTTTGTGCTGGATATAGAAATGGTAAGTTTCGTTATTTACAGGTTTTTAGTTGAAAGTATCTCAGATAAAATTTTATGATTTAAAAATATATTGGTTAAAGTATTCTCTTTTATCTACGTCAAATGTGTTTGCATGATTAATGGGCGGCAAAAGGGCTTTTGGCCGCCGTTCATAGAATGTAAAAATATCACGAATTGGCTTTACAAAAGTGTACTTGACACTGTCAGGTATCGGCCATTATTTAGGGTATTTTCAATATTACAAGTTAACAAAATTTGTGAACAAGGTTGCAAGTTAAGAAATGTAAATCAAATAAATCGAATTTAAATTTTAAAAAATTAGATATTTGCCGACATGATTTTTTCCAGCCATTCTAAGTATGTAATACTTAGCTTATAATAATATGCCTAAATAAAAACTATTATTATTATTATTATTATTATTATTATTATTATTACCAACACCTTTATTTCTTTAACTATTAATTATTATTTTATTTTTTGTTTATTTTATTATTTATAATTTTAATTACTTTTGCCAGGGTCATAATTAATTCCACTTCGAGTAGATGTAATATAACCTAATCTAATTAAAACATTTATTTGTTTCAGGAACTAGTGTTTGTCCTGGGGATAGCGGTGGTGGCTATGCTTCCCAGTTCAGGGATGGAAAATGGTATTTAATGGGCATTGTAAGCGTGGGCGTTCCATCAAATAATGCAGATGATTGTAATATTCTGCAGTACACGACTTTTACTAGAGTCTCGGAGCATTATGAATTTATACGGAAAAATAAAGGTCATTGAAACAGAAAAGATTCGCTTTGTCGCATTTGTAAAATGTTGGCGTATAATCTATTTCTTATTTTCTTCTATGTTTTATATCAATATTGGACCTTTGATTTTTAATAATAATAATAATAATTATTATAATAATAATAACAACAATTATAACAACAACAAGCCGATCCGATGACCGAGATCGCTAAGTAGTGCAGTGGCGGTCTCGGATCAAGGGTTCGCGGGTTCGAGTCACACCTTGGGCTGAATGTTAATGTGTGTCTATTTCATAATTAGCCATCATCATCACAATTTCACGCCATTCCCCAGAGATAACTACCCTGGGGTGTAAAAATGGAATCAGACTTAAAATGCTGATCACCTAACAGAAAGTAACGTACCTACCCTGACATTGTAGACTGCGTCCCGGTGGGATGCACCAATGGCGTGACCCCATGATGGCCGATTCGCGAAACAAACAAAATGTTTAATAATAACTCCACTTAGGGAGTAGACGACCTTGCAGTTCTTGATGGAGCTCGAGAACCCCCTTGAGCTCTGTCTGTTATGTCTGCGGAAGCCTAGCTTCTGTTAGGGCCTTCATTGTTGAAGGTAAGGGGTCAAACGAAGAACTACTCCAGAGGAGAGCCTCAACGGCATCTTCGGAGAAGAAAGGATTAATTAAATTGGCAGAAGAGGCACCTCAAACATTTAACCGCAGTGTCTGATCCGCTGCGAGCGGCTCAAAAAGCGTCTGTTTCCATGATTGGGACGGCTGCTTACATGGCGGGAACTAAGAAGAGAACGAAGAGAATGAACCTTTGATCTTTCTGTTATCGGCCCTTTGAGGGAACAGAAGAAAAACTGGGTTGGCACACCAGGCCACTGATAAGAGAGGAGGCCCAAAACTTGCATCAGCCAGCGAAGGAGACTACCTTCAGCAGTCAATGAGAATCCCGTAGAGCTTAGTAAGGCGGACTGGCAATCGGAGGGACCCTTGCTGGGGACACTAGCTGCTAGCTTGGTCGGATTCAGCGGCTGTTTGAAAGAGATTTATAGCGGTCGGCTGCTCTGATTGATAGTTGTCTGTGTTTTCTCCGATCAACACCAGGCGCATACCGAAATAGTGCCCTAACACGAAGCCACGGACCGTACGCGATTTTTCCTTCCTCTTCCTTGTCCTATCCTCGCCCTTTACTTATTACACACACTTACACTTCCACGCACTAACGTACCACACATGCCGGGAGACCAGTCGGGAGCTGAGAGCTTGTCCCGGCTGAGGCGATGCCCAGGTGGGGGATACCTGGATGGGAAAATGTGACATGTAGTGTAGGTCACCGTCAATTCTTGACATCTAACAGGACAAGATAACCGCCTCCTCCCCCGATAAAAACGTGTAATACACTTATGAGACCAATTATCTTAGCAATTATCCCGGAAACAATCAATCAATCGAGAAATAAATAGTTCTTTTAATGGTACAACACTAGGAAGGAAGATTTGGTTGAGTGTGGAGGGCGGTTGAGGAGACAGATGATGAACTCACTGGCAGCCATGTGTTGCCAAAGTTAAAAGAGATTGTATTGCCAAGCGATTCGGTCTTGTGAGAGACCTCATATTGGGGCAGATGAGCCAAAGTACGTGGGCAGCAAAGCTTTGGGTTAAAATCCACGTCATCCTTGAATGTTTTAGTAGAATTTGAAGTGTGGAGGGCATTTGGAGTCTTTCGTGTGTTGCATATACACCGTAGTTCTTTCATCATCTCTTGGTCAACTGTGTGCAATCTGTGTGTTTAAGTGAGGAACTGGATGGCTACACTCAGAACAATGGTATAAGCACCGAGGTGAGGTCAAGAAATACTGTAGGTAAATATGTAAAGGTTTAGAACCGTGTTGGGGTACAAAAAATTTTACTACACTATACTACCTTTACTGTACCTCAGTCAACCGGTAGGCACCGCGAGAGGCGCTGGTCGTGGTATTTTAGACGCCAAAGAGAAAATATTTGACTAATTACTGCCAGATATTATGTGACAATAATCTTACTTCTTCGTCCCTTTTCTTAAGTTGAACAATTCTTAATTAAAAAATGAAATTTGTATTTATTTTGCAGCAACCTAAATTTGTATTAAAACATTGTGATATAAATAGTTGGAAAGCCTTTGAAGTAATTTACATAACAGTGAAACCAGGTTCGATGCTGTCTAAAGTTACATTTTAATTGTACAGTGTTTTGTAAAAATTAACATTTTTCCTCGTCACGTACTGTCAATAGTCAACGAGGAAAATTGATTTTAGATATGCATAAAAACGTTTGAAAAACAATTTGTAAATATGTGAGCAAAAGAAAAACATGAACAAAATAAAGAAAACTAAATAATATAGTAATAAAGAATAAACTAGCTATTGCTGCATTAAAAGGTTGCCTTATCTGTTTGTTTTCATTTGATATCCGTGAAAGCCGTTATTTCACACCACTTCATTGACTTCACAATTTTAGTGTTCACTCAAAGTCCACTTACTCATGTATTGTCATCCAAGTTAAATATATCAAAATTTCATAAGATTAACACAAAAGGGTGATATTTAGATTTTTACCAAAATATATGTTAGATCATGTGTGTGTTGGGTATGCAGGACACACAAAACAACATGGTTTATCATTCATGTTATACCCGACCTCAGAGTCTTTAAAGATAACTAGTGGTGCTACAGAATGGCACACTCTTTTTCGTAGTAAAACTTATGAAAATCCTTTGTGTGGGCTAGCTTTACAGCCTTGCCCCTGACTTCTTGGCGGCTGCCATTTATTGCCGCTCTAAATTCATTTTTATTTTCCCGTATACGTACGTATATACGTAGTATAGTCGTATAGTAGTAGTATTCATAGTTATCAGTGAAAATCACACCTATGCCATCTTTATAAGTGTATTTTACCATATTTTTACAAGAAATTTATAGAAAAAATTTGGAGCGATTTTTGAGAAAATTTTGAAAATGTCCCTGGGGCTTCATGTAAATAACCCCCAAATTTTAAAGAAAGTTTTTCAGAATCTCAAAGTTTCGCCACATGGACAAGGCCTTCGTCAATTTGGAAAAAAAATCTACGTATGATTTAGGCGCTAGTGGTGTTCACAGACGGACGGACGGTGTTAGTAGGATAGTTACTATAGTTAGAACGGATAGTTACTGTATTTTGAAAAAAAAAAACACTTTTTCTGTATCAGGGGACCCCAAAACGTGTATTTTCGTTGAAGTCTCAAAATAGATTTTACGCAGCATTTCATAACTCTCCCTATACTACCCTATACATATTACTCCGTATAAATGTATGTATACAGAAAATTTAAAAAATTGATTTCCCAAAATCTGACAACCAATCCCGGCGTGAAAATTAATGTTAAAGGCGTTCCCTAAAAGGGCAGCATATGAACGTATCCCATTTGCTTGCAAATACGAGCTCCTGGTATTTGGTAATGGTTGTTGCGGAGGGTTATTGCTTCGTTGGATGTTAAGCTGCCTGACGAGCGACAAAAGTTTCGGTTCTTCTATGCACGGTGTGTCGGGACTAGTTTAACTGCTTAACCCGACGAAAATGCTCCGGTGTCGCCTGGTGAAGAGGTAAAAATGGTGTGGAACTGTTATAACATTCATTCTCATTCATAAATTCTAATTTCTATACTTCGGTTTCAATAGCGAACGTTCAAATGCTGATGCAGATGATAATAATTATTATTGTTCTATGCAATAATACATTTTACACAAGACCTTTTTCACATTTCACTATCTCAACGTTACATAAACTATCCTTGCACATTCCTTATAATTATTTATTAATTGACATTTAGTGGTAAAGTTATTAGCAATTCGCAATTAATACATTTGTATTCATGTTCTTCCACACATTCATAGTTACTGTGTTCATACCACCTGCACAGCGCTCGTTATTTTGCATCGTGGTGCAAAGATTCGAGATGATACGGTTTACTTCTTCTCGTCCATATTAAGCGAAAGTTTTAAAATGATCACTTTATTTTTTGTGACACAATCAGGTTAATTCTTAAATGGGAAGTATGCCAATCATGCAATTCGGTGTAGCACTGTTACGCTAAATGGCATGGTCAATCCTCAGTAAAAATTGTGAGCATATTGTGGGAGGTGAAAATGGGAAGCAGCCACGCTGAAACTAGTGTCGCAACAAGAAAAGTAATTATAAAATAAAAGAATACGTGGAAATCTTTACAAAAAATATCTACACATGTAAATAGATCTCGTTCAACAATGCAATTAACAATTATTTTTTATTTTATTTCATTTTAATTTATATGCTTGCGGGTGTACAACCTCTTTTACAGCGGGTTTGAATACATTCGATACAGATTTAATGAGTTGAGTTATATTTTGAATCCATTACTGTTTTAGAATTATTTCGAGGAGTTATCTGTGCGATGGGTTTAGGGTGGGTCAAAAAATTGTCTGTTTCCTGCGGATGCGTGCTCTGTTTGGTTTTTGTTTCCATAATTGGAAGTGGAGCGCTAATGGTATTGAAGGAATTTTGTGGTAAAACTTGTTTAATGTTGGTGGTAATTGGGGTTATGCCGAGCTCGTGATAAAAGAGATCATTGGGTCAATGTGAGATTTGGCTGCTGAGCCCCAAATTGGATTTGCGTATGTTAGAATCGGTCTGTTAGAATCATAGCTTTTTAAAGATGAGTACCGGTTTGAATTTGGAGGGGAGAAGATCGACGAGGTATTGGGAAGAGCTGGTGAGGTCTTTGTGTGGATAAGGTAAGTCTATGGTGGGAGTAGGGTTTCCAAGTTCGATGATCGAAGAGGACTTTGCGGTATTTTACTGGCGGGTTGGAAGGTAACCAAGGGATGGGTGTAGGGTTGTATGACAGAGTTGGAGTTAGGGTGGGTCTGCGTAGAGAAAATAGTTTGACTTGAAATTTGGTAGGGTTGAATTTGATTCGCCATTCAGAGATTTGATCTAGATGGTTTTGAACATCTAGGGTTGCGAAATCCAGTACTTCGTTGAGTACACTGCTTGGTCATCGGCGAAGAGAGCGAGGAGGGTGTTTGGGATGGTCGGTGGATCATAAGTGAACATATTGAAGAGAGTTGGAGCAAGGACAGAGCCTCGAGGTACACCTGCTAAGATGGGAGCGGCGGCAGAATGTGCGTCAGTTAAACGTATGGAGAAGGACCTATTTTTGAGGAAGCTTTTAATTAGAAGTATAAGATACTGTGGGATGCCGAGTTTTAGTAGTTTGAATAATAATTCAGGGTGCCAAACTGCGTCGAAGGCTTTTCGATATCAAGGAAGACAGCTAATGTATGAGAATATTGGTGAAAACCTTCAAGAATGTCTTATGATAGTATACGAATCGGATGGTTTGTTGAGACAAGGGTTTAGAAGCCGAATTGATGGTGAGGAATGGCTGAAGTTTTGTTGACGTATGCATTTAGTCGAGAAAGAATGCATTTTTCAAAGCTTTTGCTACTGGATGGAAGAAGGCTTATAGGTATATGAGGGTGTCAGCGCACTAGTGGCCTATCCCCAGATCCTGTGTTTGGAGAAAATGGCTGATGAAGTTATTGGCAAAATTAAACACTCATTTGTAAGCGTTTTCATATTATGATATTATGTAAGAATGCCCCCTGACTAAACATTTGTGGTGGATTACATCTTGTGTAAAACAGCATCGCCTATGCTTAAGCCACTATTGCACAAAGAAATGTAATCGTAAGCTGAGTGCAATAGTTCTTTTTGTAATTATAACTTGAAAACTATCGACGCGAACATGCTGAAACTGTTACACGTTGAAGTTAGGGAGATTAAGATGTGATTAACACAGAGAACGCAATTTCCTAAAAATGTGGGATAGGCCACTATTGCGTTGTCACCCTCATATAACTTAATGAAGAAGAGTCTTTAGGATGGGTATAATATGTACTTATTTCCAGACTGTAGGGAAGAGTAGAGACTGTAGGGAAGACTGTAGAGATGGAGATGTTTGTAATGCGTACAATGGCACTGAAAGGCAGTTGTTTAAAGATAAAGATGTTGATTTTATTTGAGCCGAAGGATTTTTTGGGTGCATTTTTTGCTAGAATAGAAACAACCTCCAATGGTGAGATGAATTTAATGGGATGAGGCACGCTGATTTGTGGGTTGTATGCTTCATGCTCTATTGTTTGATTAACATCTAGATTCGTGGGAGGATGTGAAATAAAGACGGATGCAAAATAGTCTGTTAGGGTGTTGGATTTTTGTATAGGAGAGGTCGCGAGGGTACAAGGTGTTTGGAGGCAGGGGATATGGTTGCGTTTTCTTAATAAACGGTGGGTGAGGTTTTCAAGTGAGTGGTCATTTGGATGTGCAGTTTGGATTTGTTTGTGGAAATATTGACCTTGGACTACGAAAAGCAGTCTCCGTACAATTTTAGTCGGTTTAAGTAGGATTAACAATTGTTAGGTTTTGTGTTATAAAACGAGAGAAGTCGACCTGAACAATGAGACCAAGTAAAGCAGAAAAAATATTTACTGTTCGAAAACTTCAGAATGGTATCAAAATTAGTGCTGTAAAATTGGGAGAGGAATTGAGAAAAAGTACGTTTCAGTTAGCACGATGCTTAATATTTGTGGCGAAAAATGGTATCATACCCGGAACCGTTTTTAGTGAGAAAAATCAAGTCGCATAAAATGATGTGCAAAACAATAACGAAATAAAGGGACGGACTTCTGGAATTCAGTCACATTTGTAGGCTAACGAAAAATAAACTAAAAAGGTTTTTGTGTCTGACAGGAGAAGCAATCGCAATGCAGAACTGGACCCCCAAAATATTGTGCCTACAGTGAAACGTGGTGGCAGTTTCATGCTAGACTGATAGTGCTTGACTGGTAAACTGGTTGTAAAGCTACAGCCTTAACTCTGTTATCTGTATGTTTCTCTAATACGCCGTTCATATTCTATTTGCCATAGTTTCCTCATTTTCGTAACCAACTCTAGATACGACAATTGTAAATGACAATTGGAGTGCAAAGGGTTAAATAATAATTTTTCTAATTAAAATGATAAATTGGAAACGTTACGTCAGTACGAGTACCGGTACATTGAAAAACAAGAAGTATTTGCAGTTTCGAAACTAATTAAAGACGGGTGCGTTGTATAAATACAATTACAAAGCCTTTATATTGATGATTCAACTCGAAATCCATCATATTTTATTATTTTACTGTAATATTCTCGTAATTGTTAGAATATTTTTTTTTTATTTTGCCATATTTTATTATTAATTTTCAAACATTTGTAATTGCAAATTTTAAAAAGTTGTAATACATCTGTCTAAACAACATCTCAAAACTTTCTTTGTTGTTTCAATTGATACAAAAGGCAATCTGGTGGCTGAGCCTACAATGAACCCACAATTTTGCTCCATTCTTTTCCTTTTTCACACATGCCACGAAGAGGTTTGTCCGGTTTTCAATTTAAATGCGCGCGAATGAGACATTGTATTCGTTTTACACCTACTCAACGAACGATGGATCTCTGAGAATGAAAAATGACAAAACAATTTCCAGACCTTGAGAAAACAGGTAGAAATGGCCCCTTGCCTATGCGTCAGTCGGTTATAACGTCACATTTATTCAAAGGTGTGCTGGGATTTGCGCAATCCTGTTTTCCTTATTCGAAACGGATGAAGAAACCTGTCCCAATAAACTTCGCAAAATCTCTTAAAAGTTCGGCATAGGTATTTTTGTTTGTTGGGTTTTAATCACATGAATAACAGTTTTTGAGATTTCACTTCGGTGGCAGAATTTGTTGGCAATGCATGTGCTCTTTTTCCTCCATGCAGTAGGTGTGTTGTCCTGTACACGGAGTGTCCGAACGCGGATAACTGAAACCACACACCAGTCGCCGTGCAGAAGGAAAAGGAACTCGTTTGGTTTGCGGCAACGGTCATGTTGTGTACATCTGCTGGAAAGTTTTGTTCTTCTTTGCTGCTTTTCGGAGGTGAGCTACACCTACAGAAATATCAATTTACCAGAAGTTGTCATACAACGTTCAAATTCTTACCAAAACCAGATTATCATTTGATTATTGTTGACCTATGGTTTTGGTAATAAAAATGATTCCTCCTGTTCGGGAAATTGCTTTTTAACCTGTTTAACACCGCTTCAGTAATGCTCAGAACAAAAACTGAGATTTTATTGCATGACAATATTAGTGTTATTTTTAATTTAATACTGGAGTTTATGGACAGTGACTAAGTGGATAAGCCGGTTTCCCTACTTTTTAGGACACGACTTTTAAAGATTGCAGTTTGTAAAATCGATATTTTATTGTATATCAATAAATTTTGTAAAATGATTCCCAACGTTAACAACTTCTCGCCATTACAAAGTGAATATAATTATAGTAATCAGTAATGAGATGTCACGTTCTGAAATGTAGAGAAATATGACTAAACCACTTAATCCATGCGAATATATGACAAGTCATGTTCCTAATCATTTCAAATTTGGTATTCTGCCATGAGAACGCCAACATAAATTTCAGATTTGCCCACAGGCAGCGTCACTTTGCGATGTCAAAACTCTGAAGAACAAATGCCACAAATCACCAAATATATTGAGACGAACTGGTTTACTTACCTTCCAGTTGCTTTGTTAGTTGCATTACGAGGATACTGAATTCGATATGACAATTCAAATTTGCCGCTTCGACGACGTTCAATTTTATAAGATACACCCCATAAGAAAACAAGAAGTCTGTGGAGAAATAGAATGGGGAAAAATACTCGAAAAATTGTTATTATTATTTAGAATTTAATTAACTTACACAATTTTATTATTGTTGTATTCTGGTGTTTTGTTAAAAATTCCTTTAATATTTCCTTTAGCTGAATTACTTCTCTCTCATACGTCACACTCAATTTGCACTTTGATGGTAAATAAATCAAAACAAATACATAATAACCTGCCATTAGAATAGTTGATTTTTTGGGAGACTATCTTGATGGAAAATATTTTTATTTAATGAAGTAGCAGTGTAAGCCTATAATAAAAATTATTTTGAATATTTTTTTAAAGTATGGTTTGATAATATGGTTCATTTTAGTAACAATAATTTTTGTTAAAGTATTTATTCACTATTCTCAAGAAGCAAGATTTGACATACAACGAAGGAGGCGGCAATCATGTAGGTAAGTCTGAACATAATGGTAATCAGTTTATTAAACATTACAACTAGAATCACAATGTAGCAATCTAGGAAGTTTCATGTTCTAATTAAATCTCAACATGAGAAAACTTTTATTTTATTTAGGAGCATTAATGATACTACAAAAATATAAAATGTTTTGGCCATATGAAGTAATAATAATTTAAAATGATATTTAAAGATTATTTTTAATATCGAGAAACTTTTTGTACCCTTTCAGTGCAAATGAATTTCAATGTTACTCAGGTCAATGTGTAGATCGATTTGTAAGATGTGATGGTTTAGTTGATTGTGAAGATGGGACAGATGAGACCTACCGGACATGCCAATCCCTTCCGTAAGTGCTTTTAATTTTAAATTTTGCAGGTTCAATGACAATTAACAGAAACAGATTAGCTAATTCTCTGAAATCATATTCACAATATGTTTTAATTACTTTATTACGCTTACAGTGTTAATATGATGTTACTCTTATAAAAGTTAAATACTGATAAATATGTCTCCTAATCAGGTGTCCACCATATGCTTATAAATGTGAGTATGGAGCATGTGCAAATGCTGATGCAAAATGTAATAAGATTAAAGACTGCGCTGATGGATCTGATGAAATGGGATGTCCACTTCCACCTAGCATAATATGCAAGTATGTACATTTTATTTGAAATCGTAATAGGAGAGAAAAGGTACCAACCAATTACTTTGTTGATAAAATGATAATTAAAGAGATATTCTGTAGAAGAAAATTATGAAAAAAGGTTAGAGAAAATATTTATCATACATTTCTTATTATAATAATATTTTTGAAAGAACTGTAAATATTTGCTCTTGATCAATTGTCTTTAAAATTTGTTATATTATGGTATCCTTTTCTTATTTTGACACAATCAAATATTTTAAAAACTGCTCAAATTCAATAAATACAGGTTTTTTTTTAAACAAGTTAAAGAAGATTGCAGTTAAAAAATCACAATTTTTAGAACAATGTTGCATCACAATTTTTTCACATCTCATAATTTTAATTTTCATGATCTGATGATTTTGGACAGGGAGTCTAGAAAGTATTCCCACCTTATTTCTGAATCCCTGCAAATAAAAATATGTAGAACCATTTACATGCATTTGAAGTAAAATAATTTTGCCTGAGTTTAGGACAATGTTTTGATGAAAATGAAAAAGATGAGTTACTTATGTCCATCCTAGTTTCTTTTGTAATTTTTATATTTAGTCTTTTTACTACTATTTTTTTCTTGATTCATTATTTTCAGTTGTATTTCTCCTTGCTTTGTTATATCCTCTGGCAGGTATACTTCATTCCTGTCCCTGGCCTCCCTACTCTTTTTTTCTTGACTCTTCCTCCCCTCTTTTTCCCTCCTCCTCCTTCATCTTCTTCTACTTCTTTCACAGAGCTTACTCTAATCAATACTCCATTGGCGTTCTGGTCATTCACGTCTCCTTAACACATTGACCATTGTGACCATCTCTTTAATGGCTTCCATTCTTACCAATATGTGTTTTATTGTAGTTCTGTCATGATAATAATGACCACTATGACCTACTGACAATTCTTGTTGCTATTTTACTATTTGCCTTGCAAGTATTTGCTTGTATTTGCTTTTTGTATTTGCTATCTTAGCCTTGTGCCTTGCATACATTTTGAATAATGTTTTAATAGTTTTTTCTATCTAAGCTTTCAATTTGGTCTGTTTCTCTTCAAGTGTTGAAGAGTTGTCTGTTACATATTGTGTCACAATATGTTGTGCAACATATTGTAATGATTTAAGTGCAATCTTCTTTAACTTGTTTATAAAAAGTCTTGTGTTCAACATACTTTAATAGCTTTTAAATAGTTGATTGTCTCAAAGCAAGGGGGAAAAAAACCTAGAATAAGAAAGATCCTAATTTCATACCTGAGAAATGAAAATCTTTCTTACTGAGTTAGGATATATAAATTATTCTATTTTCTTTTTGCTCTTCTTAATCTTGATGTATGTGATCTCCTGAATGTGCAAAAATATTATTAAATTATTTTATACAAAGAATATTAAGAGGTGAAAATATAATTTTCTCACTAATTAGTTTAAAACAATTCTGATATGATTTTCAATTAATTTTACAGAAGAAATCAATTTGAATGTAAGTCTGGCATATGTATTGATAATCTCCTTCGGTGTGATGGAACTACAGATTGTGATGACGGTTCTGATGAAACTAAAGATGCATGTGGCTCAGTTATGTAAGTTTCATTCCTTGGTTTTCAAAAACGTGCTAATAAGAAAACAATCAACTAACTAATGTGTATTATGTCTTTGTATTGTATGCAATATTATTATAACATCTAACAATTTATACAGTTTATTAAGGAAAATTTACGTGTCATATTGTACATTGTTGTGAGCAAACATTATTAGTAACATAAATATTATTATAATAATATTACAACACAATAATAATCATGGATGTGACATTAATAAAACTGTGGGAGTAGTATGTTGAACATACTATTTAATATTCAATTTTCTACTACTCAGATGCCCAAGCTACTCATTTCAGTGTGATTATGGAGCCTGCATAGATAAGGATGGCTTATGTAATGGTATTAAGCAATGTGCAGATGGTTCTGATGAAACAACAGAAAGATGTGGTATGAACACCACAACCCCTAAACCTACAACACAGCCTACACCATCCACTAGCTGCAAGTTGCCTTCACAACCTGAAAATGGACAATACAAACTTGGGGGCTGTAATCCGCCATGTCAACATAATCCTGGACAAATTGTAAACAATGCATATTTAATCTATACTTGTGACCCTGGTTTTGTGTTATCAGGATCACCAGCTGTATATTGTGATGGAGGGTGGTCTGCTGCATTTCCTACATGTTCTCGAAGTATGGACAATTGTAATAAATATAACAATAAAAAATGCAAGTTACAATATCATTTATACACAGTATTTATGAAACGTTTTAAGTAAAACAAATAAGTTGTATTGCTTTTTCAGCCACTTGTTCAGAACTAAATTTTCCATCTCGAGAAGTAGAATGTATATTAAATAACCAAAATGTGAAATGTGATCAACCAGTGGCTCCAGGAACTAAAGCTTTTGTTAAATGCAATGCATTCTACATCAACTATAAAGAATTAGATGATTTTGTTACTACTTGCCAATCTAATGGAACATGGTCACATCAAGTGCTTCCCTGCAATCCAAGTATGTAAAAAATTATATTTTCTTCCTTTAAAAGTTTTGGGATTTATCTAAAATGTTGAAAACACTATGTTGAATGAATGTTCACATGAATGAATGATGAAAAAATGATATGAATGAATGAATGAATGAACTATATGAATATGCAGGCACAGATCTCAGGGGGGGATGAGGGAAAATTATCCCCCTAAAATTTTTCAGAAACTTTTAATTTTAACTTGTCTTAAAACTTTCAAGCAAAATTATTTTCAGATTTTCACTAAAATGAATAAAATCATATTGCAGCATGAGCTGAGTGTAACCTGCGTTGTTTTACAAAATCTGTAATATGACACATTCGACCAAAACATTTTTAATTTCCCCTCCCAAAATGTGTGGCAAGATCTGCCCCTGGAATGTGAATGAACTATATGAATATGAATGAATAAATTTTCAATCAAATTTGCTATGAAATATTTGTTCCAGTGTAAATGTATAGTCGACTCTGGTTATAGTGAAATTCTGGGGCCTAACGTGTTTGCTTCACTATATCAGAGGTTCACCATATCCATCAATGTCAAAATTAAATAGAATTTCGCCACAATGTTTGATTTTATTAATATAGAGATACAGTAAAACACATTAACAGCAGTAACTGAAAATTTGAATATTTTTATTTGTCCATAAGAAATCAGTTATTTTCAAATGTTTGCTTCGTATATTTTTCATTAGTAATTTTCCTAGATCCTTCTCCAGAGTTCGTTCTCTCTCCAAACTTGATTCTGAATTGTCCACTGTCTAACAATAAGTATGTAATGCAATCTTGACACCCTTCAATGCCTCTTTCAGCGTTGGAAGTTACTCTCTTCGAAGGCCCTTTTTACTTACCTAATAACACACTGCCACCTACGTATGATGGACAGTTGTGTTGTTTTTTTTTAATTTGGAAAAAATACTACGTATGCTTCAGGTGCTTATGGTTTAGGCGCACGGACGGACAGACGGAAGTTTAAAAACAACAATTTTTCGGTACCCTAAAATCGCTTTTCTGTTGAAAACTTTAAATAGATTTTTCGCAACATTACATAACTTTCTCTATACTACGTATATTACTCCGTATATACTAATGTTTATAAGAAAGTAAAATGGTATCTTCATAATTGTAGTTATAGAAAAACGCGAAAAAATTGAATTTATCAATTATCGAAAAATCAGGGTTTTTAACCAATGTGAGATTCACATTAAAATTCCTTCAGATGATCCACCATCAAAATTTCATCCACAACGATGGCGCCATTTCTGATGTAGATGTATTTTACTCCATTCATACAAGAAACTGAAAGAAAAATATTGGAGCGGTTTTTGAGAAAATTTTGAATATATCTCAGGGGCTTCATATGAAGTATCCCCAAATTTAAAATAAAGTTTTTGAAAATCCCAAATATTCGTCTCGAGCCAGATGGGCAAGCGTTTCTTCAATTTGAAACAATCCTACGCATGGGTTAGGCGAGTGTGGTGCTCACAGACGGACAGATAGACGGATGGACAGACGGACAAAGAGACGGATATGTTGAAAAGAACCAATTTTTCGGTATCAGGAGACCCCCAAAACGTGTATTTCCGACGAAATCTTGAATTTGATTTTCTGAAGCATTACGTAACTCTCTACACTGCGTTTATTACTCCGTATTTTTGTACGTATACGAGAAAGTAACTTCGGGTGCTAAAGAATGGCACAGGCTTTCTCGTGTTAGTTTTCTATTTCCTTTGGTCTAGGCTAGCTTTTCGGACTTGGCACATTCTCTTGCCTGCTACCATCAATCGCCGCCCACAGAACATTTTTTTGGAATTTTTTTAATTTTTTGGTTTTCTAATAATTTAACAGATATAATATTTTAATAATCTTACAGAACACCTTGTCAAAAATGGCAATTTTCATTGAAAAATCTGGAACCGTTTTAAAGAAAATGGCTTTTAAATGCTACTGTAAGTTCTAAATTTGAAGATCTTTTTCACAGAAACTTTTTGAGTTTTCGAAAAACTTCATTTGAAGTCATTTGAAAAACATTCATCAAATAGAAAATAGTAGTGACTAATTGCTGGAAATGTGCATATTAATGGTGCGAGAGATGTTTAAAAAAATTGTATTTGTCTAATTTTTGAAAAAACAAAAATCCCGAAATTAACTTTACGTTATATTAAAGAGTGCAATAAGAACTACCCGTTCGAAAAGTTTGAAGAAAAAATTTGAAGCCGTTTATGAGAAAATAGCGTTTGAGCGTTTATGAAAATGCGGAGTTTTCGAGAAATTGTATTTGACATTATTTGTTCTTTCATTAAGGTCATGTACATACTTTTCAACATTTTAGTAGTTTTCGCGCAATATTGCGTGCAATTTGTGTTGTTTTTTTAAAAAATACACAAACAAGCTCTTCTCAAAAAAAGCTCCAAATTTTATCTTTAAACTTTTGGTACGGATGACATAAACAACATATTTCCCTATTCTTTTGTTGTTGTTTTTTTCAAAAAATATAAAAATGATTTTTTTGGTCTCTCGTGTCATTAATATTTATATTAGCAACAATTTGTTCACATTATTGTATTTATGAAAACAGTGCTTTAAATAATGTCATCAAAGTTTCTCGAAAACTCAACCATTTTCGGTGATAGCTAACTCAAAATTCCGCATTTTCAAATGCCATTGTCTCAAAAGCGGCTCCAAATTCTTTCTTCAAACATTTTGAATGGACAGTGTTTTTTACACTCTTTAATATGACGCAAAGTTATTTTTCGTTGTACTTTATGTTTTTTCAGAAGGTCCACAAATGTAATACTTTTTAAAGATCTCTCACGTCGCTGATAGGCACATTTCCAGCAATTTGTAAACATTATTGTATTTGTGATTTTAATTACTTAAAATGACTTTTAATATAGTTTTCAAAAACTCAAAAATTTTCTGTCAAAAAGAGCTTTAAACCTCGAATGTACAGTAGCGCTTAAACGCATTTTTCTTAAAAAAAACGGCTCCAAATTTTTCAAAGAAAATTGCCATTTAGTACGAGGTTTTACTGTTCTTTAACGTCTTAAAGTAATATTTCCGCCCTACAATTTGAAAACAGAAAAATTACGAAAATATACAAAAAATGTACTTTGAGCGGCGATAGATGGTAGCTGTGTGTGGCAAGTCTGTGTAGCTAGCCGAGATCAAAGGAAATAAAAAACGAATACGGAAAAGTCGACGCCGTTCTGTAGCACCACTAGTTTTATTTCATATTGTGTTTTTGAACTATTCATATTGTGAACTTTTATACATTTTTAATCAAATACGTTTTGTAAAAAACTTTCCCTCTTAGAATTGAAATGGAAGAATAGATATTGGGGTTTAACTTGCGAAAGTTCTCGCACTGGTAACCGGAGATAGTAGGGAAAGAACTTGTACTAGACAGGACACAAAGACCAACCTTTTTTAATTAACTAAAGTAAAATAGCAGGAAATAAATGAACAGCAAAATTCAAAAAGCGCTACTCTACAATACTTCGTGAATGAATTTAAAGAAGCCACAAAATTTTAAATAGAATAGCGCAAGTCGTTCGACAACTGCCAACGATCACAATCCAGACGCACGAATTAAATTTTGGCGGTATGTTGAAGTCTGTACATGAATGGCCAGCTGTAAATTGATATTGTAAATAATACACAGTTTGATATTAAACTTAAGGTGTCGATATTAAACTGAAGATATTCAATTCGTAAACATCGTTTGAGCAACATTCCCATGTACCGAAGTGAAGTCTAAGCCTACAGAAATGTTTGTAATGGTAGCAAATTGCATTTATTAACCAAAGAGAAAAATATTAGTTTTATTATTTTTGGCTCGGAATTGTGTTTCTTGAGGGACGTAAGAAAGCTGAAAATAATCCAATATTTTTTAGTACATAAATAATTTTTCAATTTTCGCTCCCTAGCAAACTGGCGCCCTGCCCCTTCAAACCCCCTCTATTCCTCGTAACAAATCCAGGAAAGATCGTAGGCTTTCACGGCCGGCGTCAGTATAAGGGAAATTTTCCGGACCATAGGCCGTGGTGTAGTTGGCATTGAAGGGCCAAACATTTCGTCCACGACTGCGGTGGACATCATCAGTGTAGGCAGGGTCGCGAGCAGGATTCCACTTGATGTCGCTTGGTTTGCTCAATTATGACGCCATATCCCGATTGTTTATATCTTCATTTGTTTATTAGCTACGTGGTTTTTAGTGAAGTGAGATTTTCACTGTTTTTTCACGGCAATTAAATGAAATAATAGCTTTCTTATCAAGAGAAACTTTAAAATTAAAATAAACAATACTTTCGAAACACCATACAAGGCGCAGGGGTCCCACAAGGATCGTGTTTCTCTCCCCTCCCCTTGAATATCTATTTTCAGATATTTCTCAACCAGACACCTCTGAAATACCTTCGTTTGCTGATAACACAGAAATATTCACATATCACGACGATATCTTATTCGCACATGACCAACTATAAAATTACTTACTTAAATTTTCGAAATGGACTGAAAAATGGAGAATCAATTTTTTTTTCTCATCCGTTTACCTCATCCAAAACACACCATTCCATGTCCACCAAACCAAACACCAGTTACGTACCTAGGATTCACAATGGACACAAAAGTAACCCGGAAAGCACATATTACAAACACAGTAAACAAAACATATTCAAATATTATAAAACCCTATCCCATACTAAATTATAAATCTAATATTAGCATGAAATGCGGTAAAATAATTTACAAATCAATAATCAGGCCCTCACTAACCTACACAAGCCGCGTTTAGATAAAAGCAGCCCATAGCTATATAAATAAACTCCAAGTTATACACAATAAGTACCTCAGTAAATTCCCAAACCACCGTGGTTCACGAGCAATGAACAAATACATAAAATATAACCCATTCAAGATTATTCTTAAAATTTCTAAAATCTTTTATGATTTACAACCAAAATCTCCAGCTTCAACTTAGCATCTAGGTAAGACTTAAGAGGCAACCACATAGAATCCATTCACTCTACCCTAAGGACATTTTCAAGCCTGCCTAACTATCTGAAAATATAATCTCTCGCTTTATCTCTCTACCCCCCTGTCACACATACGCGCGCACAACAATACTAACCATTGCTTGCCAAGCTTGCTTGCCAAGCTCATTTTTCTTATTAATCTAATATACCTTTACCGAAGTGTGTGGACACTTAGACCTAAGGAGGGTTCATTATATAATGTTATAGAAAGCTTATAATCAACACCCTTGAAAGGCAGATATGCCGAGCAAGAAGAAATAAAATAAAAGAATCATACGAATTAGTTGCGTGTTGCAGCATATTAATGTAACGCCTCAGTGATAACAGAAGGCAAAATTGACGGCCGCAGTTCGTTCGCGTAAATATAAACAAATAATTTTATTTACGGCTAAAATACGCATTGCGCATTATTGGTACATTTATGTAAAACGCGGATACACTGAATTCAATGGCAAAAAGCTGTTTTCATTTAAACGTTTGAATTTAAAATATATGTGTATTTTTACGCATCGTTTGTTTAAAAATTTTTCAAATGGTAATTCAAGTGTTCGAGAGAAATTTATTATATTACGTAGCAATTAGCAATATCGCGAGAAAGTACATATTGTTGTAGCATCACTAGTTATCTGAGCTATGGTTTATTTTCATTTCTTGCATTTGCAAGAGGGGTGTGTTGTTGCAAGGGTTACGTAAGTATTTAAAAGGTTGAAGTGCGAGTTACTAATTCGTTACAGGGGGGGTATTTAAAATATTTCAAATTTGCGTAAAGTAATTTATGGAAGGCTAGGGCAGGGACCTTGCAGTGACAAGTGTTGTACAGAGGCGCAACAACGAAGTTTCAAGTAGCTTAAGTTTCTTACGCCAAAAGATCAACTTTTTTAATTGTATTTACATACCTCTTTATATCGTGTTATTTATATGTATTATTAAACAGCAGATGAACTGTTGTTATTGATAGAGTGTAATAAACAATACGTTTTCATTTAAATTGCTGTTTTGTTTATTAGATTTTCATTTTCAAAAGCAACCATACATATTACAATTTTTGAAAATTATTTTCGGATTGTCAACAATTTTGGACCTCCAGGCTTAGAATTACTGAGTTCCTCTGTACCTCACATTTTTCTTTCTTCTGAAGGATTAAAACTTATTTACTTGCCAAATGTTTAGATCATACAAAACGAGAGATTGTAAGTGGATTTTAAACACTTGATTACTATGCTCGATTTCATTTTCAGAATGTGGGGAACCCAACCCAAACGGTGTACCGTTTGTAGCTGGTAGTTCTGAAGCTAGGAATGGAGAATTTCCATGGCATGTAGGTATATACCGACTGCTTGAAGGGCGTTACCAGCAAGTGTGTGGAGGCAACATTATTACTGAACGTATCATTATAACAGGTAATTATATTGTGTAAATACCATAAATATTTGAATTTTTTAAAAAAAAATTGTGTTATAAATTTTTATTGCTATTATTAAATGTTATGAAATTATTTTTTAAGGTAACAATTTTTCATAAGCTAATATTTTGTGGATAAAAATTTAACTTACAGCTGCACATTGTTTTTGGGATACACCTTCACAAGTACAAATTGATAGTCGTGAGTACAGAATAGCTGCTGGAAAATTTTATCGAGAATGGAACCACTTAAATGACACTCGTGTTCAGACCTTTGAGGTGTGTGGAGTTTGTAACTTTTAAAAATTCCAATATGATAATACGGTTAACAGTATATTCATATATTTCAGATTGACAATGTTGTACTTCATCACATGTTCAGGGGTACTGCCCGAAATTGGGCAGATGATATTGCAGTGGTAAAACTAAAAAATAGTATTGTGATGAGAGTTGGAGTTGCGCCAATTTGTGTGGATTATAATGAGAAGTTTGAGAATTTATTTTCTCCTGGAAAAAGTGGAATTGTAAGTATTATTGTAACATAGGTTAGGCTTAGTTTCTATATACTCTCTATGGAATGAAATACACTTTAGTTTTAAAATTAGGAGATTTGAAGGGAGAGGGCAGAGTGCAGGCAAAGAACCGAAATGTTTTTGTAATATTTGCGCTAATTAAAACCGTATCGGCCTTGCTAATAAACGTGGTGTAAATTGTATTCTGTGCTTAAGCCGAGAATAGGAAGAGAATTGCGAAAACGCCTACCAATGAACATGGAATAACTCGAGCACGGAATAAGTCATGTAGTTTACATGACAGCCGTTAAACCCCGTAGAGACATAGACTAAGCGTGGAATAACCTAGAAATGCGAAAATGGAGGCGAATAAGTACGAACTGGTGTGTTTTGCTTCATTGAATCATTGTCATTTTTAATTCGAGTGTTCTTCATTTCTTGTGTCTTCTCGAATATTTGGTGATCTAGTTTATTTTGTGAATCATTAATTTGTTCGTGTTTTCTTGGAATTTTGACGTTTGAATCTTCGAAGTGATTTTGTTGGCGTTTCTTACCAGGAGAAGGACTGAGACAGCATTGATGAAATGTACGGACAGCCGAGGAAAAAATGTTAACGAGCGCGTGTACATCTTTTTGAAGGATATTCAGTTGAATATCGGACTGAAGTTTAGTAGACGGTACAACTTCCGAAAGTCGTTTAAACTGGTACTTCGCGCCGCTCCGGAGGTATTTAGTCAATTTACTTTTTAAATGTATTCTTGAGATTAGGGGGGTATTTTAATGGCCAATAATATGCTTCTACAGTTACTTATTTTTACCTATGCCTGATAAAAAAATCTACTTGCGTTCGCTAACCCTCAAACGGAATCTTGTAAATATGGTAATACATCAGTTTAATCCAGAAATGGGGGGGGGGAAGGTTCCTTCTTCGGGAGTAGCATACTACGGGTTTATTGTGTATACCATTACAACCATGATCTCCCCCTTCCAATATTTTTAAACTAAAACTTCTATTTTTATTGAGAAATCGTTCATAGTGTAATAATTCGTATTAATTCGACCTAATTTTACTTCGAATTGTGTACTGAAAGTGTTAGTAAATTTAAAAGTGCTAATTTATTTTTATTTTTGTTTTCAGGTAATGGGATGGGGATATACAGAAAATCAAACACAAAGTGATACCTTACGAAAGGCAACGTTGCCATTTGTTGCATTCGAAATTTGCGAGAAAAAAGTGCCCCCATCGTTTGTGCCTATCCTTACATCTGACAAATTTTGTGCAGGATATGATAACGGTACGTCTCTTTCAAGAGTTGTTCGAAACTACTCAATAAGAAATGATTCTTCTTTTGCAAAAAACACCATTGATTCATACTACAGTAAAGGCATAGCCCTCGTTGGCACGTTGGTTAGCCACGCCGCAACCGCGGATTCGATTCCCGGTCGGGGCAAAAATTAATTGGGAGATTTCCTTTCAATATCCCAGTATCTGTTTCCGTGTGACGATGACAATGCTCACTTCGCAGGTTGAGAATACCATAATGCAGCGTGGGGATGGCTATGTGGTAAACACACAGACCCCTTAACCCTTGGCCGCAAGGTCGGGGCGCTGTTGGTAGGCCTTAGCTCGTAAAGAGCTGTTGTGCACAGTACATACATACATAGGAGGAAGGCGTATTGGATCACTTCAACACAACGATCTCGAATTTTCGGTTGAAAAATCTGTGCTGTTTCTTTTGTTCTGAAACCTTCTCAAGATTAAGATTTATTACCGCTGTTTCAATGTTGGTTAAGATTGGTGAAGGTGTAAATGAGATACACATAATTTTGTACCTCATAATCTGGATGACTTTATGGATGGATGAATGGGCGCATAACGTTGTGAAATCGGATGCTTTTTAGCTGAAACTTGGTGAACACGACAGGAGTAAGATCTAGTTGTGACATTTCAGAGATTAATTAAATTGTTTTAACTTTTGGAGCACTTTACATGAAGCCTTGAAATTTTAACAATTTTGTAGAAAATGGATGAAATTGTTTTCTTAAAATTCTTTGCCTGAATAGAAATAAGTGAATTTATAAGAATTTTATAGTTCTGGTTTCATTAAACCCTCTGACGATTAGAAAATTGCAAAAATCGCTGTATTAAAAACGCTAATATAAAGAAGTTATAGCTTGACCCGGCAATGCTTTACAATTACACTGTATTACACTTCACACGCTATGTGACCAACGTGATTGTTAACCAGATTTTACACTACGCCCTGCAAAAAATTTAATAGATGAAAGACTCTCTCGCGAGTATGGTTATAAAGTTTCTTTTTACCTTGCTCTTTGTTGGCACGGCGGCCTGCTTCTCCTACCTCCGCTCGGAACGTCTTCGCCGTGAGCACACGACCTTGGCCTACTTTGGGTCGTTCAGTCGCCTCGCTTCTCTTGCACACCGGCCGTCTGTGATGGCGCTCGAAGTGCCATCTTCTTTCGCCCTCCACCAGATCCCGGCCGAATCTGCTCCCGACTTGTTTCTTGATACGCCCGGCACCAGAAGAGAATAATCGCCTCTTCTTCGCCCTTCACCGCTCTTCTTGTTCGGTACGCCGACGCATTTTATAACGTTCTTACGCGTGTTTAACTAAACGGCGTATTTCGTCCCAGGCGTTCTCTATGGTACTCGTGCTGCTAATTTCAACAGTTCTCCTACCGTTTCGCAGCAACTCTTGTGTGCTCTATTTCGCGGCTACAATTTCGTATCGTATTCATTACTTTGCGAATCTCCACAGTCCATATTTCGCCCAATTATTTTCACAGTTCTAATGTGTAGATTCTGTACTCTTCTGTTTTCCACAAACAATTACGTTCTCTTATCTTGCAAGCTTCTTAACGTCTTCTGTTCGTTTTTAAAAGCGTCTGTTAGGGTTCATGTAAAGTATCCCTCAAATTCAAAATTTTTTCAAACTCGCGGGATATTGAGTTCGTTAATATAAATAGGGGATTATTAATTTATGACAAAATCGGCTAAACGGTTTAGGCACTAGCATTTACCACAGACGGAGGGGAGACAGGCAGACATTTTGCCAACAATTAATGTTTCAGTACCACGGATCCCCAAAACATGAATTATGATAAACAATTTTCTATATCCTACATTACATATCATTCACTTCCCACTTAAATTCGTGGTAACTAAGTAATTTCTAGGTATTTTAGGATCCTCTGGGTTCCCTAGACATCCCCAGGAGACAATGAAGTTATTTTCCTGCATAAACTACCAGTAATGCTAAATGGCTGTATCGTAATTTACAAATTGTGTGTAGAGTTTAATAGAGCTTCTGAGAGCAATTAACGAGATAATCAGTAGATCACCTCGAGACGAGACGTGGCGTCTTCAAGGCACTGACTGTTAATCTTGGCATAGCCCCAGAGGTTCCAACTACCCCTCGCAGGATTCTGGCGTTGGGTACTCCATGAAGTTAGGCGACCGGGGGGATGACTGGTTGGTATTTTCCTTCCCTGCTTTCAGAATGCTAAACCAATTCTCGTGGCGGACAGTCACATCGACCACGTGGACCCCTCTCCGGCTTTTTATTACCAGGTCAGGTTTGAGTCGAACCCCTTCGGCTACGGAGAAAGTGGCTTCCTTGGACACCTCGGTGTCAGATTTCCGGAGCATCTTCCCTTCTATGTGGTTTTTGATCTCGTTATGACGCTTTATTCTTGCTGAGTTCGTAAAAATTCACTGACCGAAGGCCTTCCTCTACTAAGAGTAGTTTTATTGGCAGTGGTATTTGATCTCAATTGGAGTGCAGTGATAAAGGGTTTCAGAAGATTAGAATCTTTCAAAAATGCATTTCCAATCGGATCGTTTATATGCGCTCTAACCGCTCTCTCTTGGGATCCCAGCTTCTTCCAGGCGGCTACCTCGTCATCGGCGCATTTCTTCTTACAAGCCCTTAAATATTGTTCAGAACAGGGCCAGTTGAGTCTCAGTGTTTTAAACGGTCTTTAATGTCGTTGGTAAAAACTCGGACAGGAGCTCAACCATCTGCAAAGGGGTTCTGCACATTTTTCTAATCGTAATCCTAGGTTCAGCGCAAATCTAGGAACGTGTTGGGCGAGCCGCGGCAATCTCAGTTCTCCATCTCTCTTGGCCAGATAGAAAAAGCCATTTGCAGTAATCATATGCAGATGTAGGAACTGTTTGACTGCCACTCTGATTTGACCGTCCACTTCCCTGAGCATCGACACTGATGGCATGAATAGAACCAATTGATAAAGGTTCTGTGGCATTATGTAGGTATGAAGTAATGCCAACTTCTGAGTGGGCTTTACATGCGCCTTTTAAAGCCTCAACACTGCTTCCATCAAATTCGATATGGATGCTTTAGATGGGAAGCCGTTGCAAATAGAGTAGTTCACTCCCAGGTATGAACGAGTATGATCATTGCTGACAAGGGAAATTCTCTCCCCCAACCTTTCCAGACAGGGGTCCTCCCTCAATGAACCTGTATCGTTCAAAAGTTCTAATTTGAAGTGATGAACATTTCGCGACGGACAATGTCATTCCGAGGGCCTCAATATATTCCACCATAGTATCAACTAATTCTTGAGCGCCTCAGGCATCTTTTGCTAACAGCACCAGATCGTCAGCATATGCTAACACGGACACACTCCTTCCCAAAGCGTGTATCCTGACATATTTTCCAATTTCTCAGCAGGCACTCCATGATGAGATTAAAAATGAGTAGGGACAAGGACCCTGTTTTACTCCTCTACGAATTGGCACGTCAATTCCTTTCGAGGGGTGCTGAATGACGGTGGTAATATCTGCGTAAGAGACCATTACCAAATTGGTAAAGGCGTCAGGGATCCCGTTCCAGGACAGAGCGCACCGAATCGCCGCGTGAGGAACACTGTCAAATGCTTTGGATATATCTACCACAACACCCACACCACCCCCTGATTTCTCATGTCACTGACTGCTTCATGAAGAATTTTAATATTAGCGAATCAGCCAGGTTCAGGTATAAACCCTTTCTGGCGTGGATTGAACTTCGCCACGGATCGAATGCGTTTGTCCATAATGCCCCAAAAGATTCTGTCCAGCATAAATCTAATTGTGATGGGACGATAGTCAGTGACCACCGTATTATCCTTACTCTCTTTTGGTATAAGGATGGGTGCGGTTAGTTTTCCACCTAGAAAGCACAATGCCACTGTACAAAATTTGGGTGTACAATAGGGACAATATTTCAATTTTTGCTCCTGAAGATATGTGGCTAACCTTTATCTTATCAGGTCCTGGAGCCGTGGCATTTTTCTTCCCAGCCAGACGACTTTTAATTTAGGCAACTTGCACCACCTTTAGAATTGTGTCTGGGTCCATTCCAGGTGTGAAGAATTTATCGAGTGAGAGAGCGTGAAAGTAAAAATAGCGAATTCAACTCCTTTATAATGTTGCTTATTGCATCCTACAAATTTGAAAACTCGTCTTTAACATTGCACGTTTTCAAATCACACTGTTATGCAGTAAATCAAAATATTATAGATTATTTGTGTAATTCAGACCTACTTTTAATGGTATTTAATCATGTTTGAAAGGAGTATAAATAATACAATTCTTATTTTGTAGGTACAAGTGTTTGTGGAGGAGATAGCGGTGGAGGATTTGCCACAAAATTTAGAGATGGAAAATATTATTTAATGGGACTAGTAAGTATAGGTGTCACTAGCACAGAAAATTGTAATATTTTTCAATATACAACTTTCACAAGAGTATCGAAATTTTATAGTTTTATACTAAAGAATATATCTTAGTAACATTTCCCATTAAAATGAAGCAGATGAAATGTTGCAAACAATTATGGAAATCAGTGGATATTTTCTTGCAGGTTTTTTAATTTAAAAATATGTATTCGTTTTAAATAACACATTTGTACCTATTGATTTTCACACTTTTTTGTGCAATTAATATCAGAATAAATATTTTATGACTTTCCTTATGATACTGTTACTACTTGATCTTTTAAAACATTTGTTAATATTCTGATTACCTATAATTCCTTCTTAAAAACAGAATATGTACTTTCTCATCTTCCTGATTTTTTTATCGCTTCGGGTGCTGAACTTTTCCACTCGCTATTACAAATTTAATTCAGTGTTTATCCGTAAATTACCAGTTTCTTTTTTTGGTTTTAAATTTAAGTAATTATTAAACAATGTCATTTAATTATTGATTATTATTCGGGTTGCTAGAGCGATTGCTTCTGAGCGATTGCTTCTGATCATTACTGTCCTAATTAATAGAGACCAGAAGTTTAGACATTTATTTTACCTGAAATAGGGAGTCCTGAAATAAGGCATATATTTTTAGTAAAATAAACATGGAAATTATATATGCATTTATTCTGATTACGATAGTGATTTAAAAAGATATGTAAGCGATGAAAAATTACCATTTAAAAGAACGACATGGTGTACAACTCCTTCACACTTTAGCTATCTAACGAAATATATACAAAAAGAATTAGCTGTGTACTCATTCCTTAATGGCATAGTTTTTTTCTACACATTCAAAAAATTGTGCAACGCAACACCGTCGCCTACAGGTCGCCATACTTGCTTTTCCCTATTCTTCATAACACTGGCTAACAAAGTTTTAATTTTGAGCTTATCATACGTGGATTTTCTTGCAGGCTCCCGGTCTAACTGGCAATAACAGTTTACACAGTACTAGTAATGCAAGATTAGATATTTTTCTCGTTGCTCTTTGCTTACGTGTGCTCTTTGCGATGTGCTGCTGCTTGTTTTTGGCGCGCAAGCATCATTGTGCAAAGCACATGTTCCGTAAACTTTTTATCTTATTCACATCTGCCTTGGAGAAGTTATGAATCCATATTCCATTTTCCATTACCAGACGTGCCGTATTCCTGGCCTCTCGGTTCTTATATTTTGGTAAAAAAATCTACAAATTTTCCAATTCTCTATATAATGGGACAAAATTTGCTGTTGTTCTTCCGTCATTCGGAAAGTCCTCTACTTCATACATTTTTATAACTAATTATAATAACACGCTTACGTTCACCACGTAGATCCCTGTGTAAGTATGAACACGTGTTGCACGTATTGGTCAGTGAGTTACCAGCGTTCGCCAGCTCTAGTCTATAGAGGCCGTCAGTCTCAAAAAGTGGCGGGAGAGCGCGTAGCATGCCAATAAACGATATATTCGAGGTGGCAAAACTACTTGGTGATCTCATTTAATTCGATTCCTTAGGGAATCGATTATTTTCTTTCCATTCAATTCTAGAATCGACCCCAACTTTTCGATTCTGGGAACGATTCTAGAATCGATTCTTTTACAGGAATTGAAGGTCCCTAGCCGCTAAAGATACGTAGCGCTATTCCTCTTCTTGTTGACGTGTGTTGTGAAGCGCAGGTACCTAGCGTTCCCGTTCGCGGGCTATTGTGGGGCCTCGGTCACGCGCTCTGTTATTGGAAGTGCCGAGTTCCTGACACAAGGCGCAAGAGTAGAGTGCGCCACTTTATATATCACCTACAGTTTAAATGGTAGTTAAAAGGCCTTGTCAGGGGACGGTCAATTAATCCTCCGAAAGACTATCCACACGTGTACAATATCTTTGCTACCAACTTACCTTCCTGTCTAGACGTGACTCCTTGAATTGTGAAAATTACCTTGGGCATTACACTTTTATCTACTATGAAGATCGTAGTCGCAAGTTGGTGTAATTATTGTTTTCATAAAGTTTTTCACAAGAATAGAGCAATTTTTAATCCTATATTTTTATTAACAATACCGATGTGTTAGCATATCAAGCACGATCAGACGTCTGAACCCGTGGTCTCGTATTTTTGTGTTTGCGATTTCGTCTTCCCACATATTGAGATGCTGCAGTGCGAATTGAACTTCTTTTGGTAAGTCGTGTGCTAGATATTTTGAGTATTTTTCATTTTACATTTGATCACTTGCATGATGCATCACTTGTACGTCAAGTATGGAGAGTAGTTGGCCCTTTTAGGTTAAGCTTTGGTGTGTAATTTCAATTGTCATTCTTGGTTTTGTGTTTTCTTTGTTTTTTTGAATGCTGCTTGTCTGTTAACATTAAAAGTGTACCATTGGCACGTGATATTCTCTCCTACTCTTTTTATTAGCATACTATTGGATACATTTTAATGTCAATTTATTTGGACTGCATGAAATCTTCGAGACTATTCCTGCATTGCAGTCTGTAATATTGTCTTGTAAGATTGTTAGGTAAAATGTGTGCTAAAACTGAAATAGAATGGAAGTAAGAGAGATGGCAAACAAACAAAAACAAAATTCTACATAATGAAACGATGATGTAATGATGGACATTAATACACGAGTATGATATTTCAATACGAGCGAAGAACGAGCGAATATCGTGAAATTCACACGAGTGTATTAATACCAATTACATCGAGTTGCATACGGTACTTTTTGTACGACTTATGGTAATTTTTATAAGTTAAACTTTTGCATTGAATCGTTTCGTAGCAGTTGACATGCAGGATTCAGCCGAAACCACCTAGAGAACAGCTACCCTTCTTGCCGCAGGTGTTTTTGGTTTACGAATCCGCCTGCAAGAGAGTACAAATGTTGCGGCAATAATTGCGAAGTCACCATTTTCGCTTTTTACATTACCGTATATATACGGAGTAATATACGTAGTATAGAGAAAGTTATGTAATGCTGCTGGAAATGGATTTCGAGATTTCAACAGAAAACTGCTTTTGAGGGTCTCCTGATACCGAAAAAGTGTTTTTTTCAAAACGTCCGTCCGACCGTTTGTCCATCTGTCTGTCTGGTGTATGTGAACAACACTAGCGCCTAATCCATGCGAAGGATTTTTTTCCAAATTGAAGAAACCCCTGTGCATTCGGCTTGAGTCGAAGCTCTGTGATTTTCAAAATCATTCATTAGTTTTTGGGGGTACTTTAAATTAAGCTCCTGGGACATTTTTAATTTTTTAAAAAAAATTGCAACAAATTTTTTCATTAAATTTCTTATAAGAATAGAGTAAAATGCACTTATAAATGTGGCATAGGTCCGATTTTTACGATTAACTCTGAATTTTTGAAAATTTCAAAAGTTGGAATTTTTTAGGGATCTTCCTACAACAAAATTATTTTTTTTCCTTTAAATGAAATTTGTTGTCCATAATTTGTTCTTTTGTTAAGGTTATGTACTTTTTTTGAAAATTTTATTTGCTGTTGTATCACTACTAGTGTACTTTTTCTGAAACACAGGAAGTGGTATAAAATAAGAGATTTATTAGTGATTATATGTTATCTTCTATAAGCTACTGTGATAGTAAAGAATAAGGAATAACAGAAATAATGAAGGCAGTAAAATCTTTAGGAACAGTACCGTATGATTGGTCATGAATATAATTTATTATTTCGTTAAATTTAATTGAACAACCTCATTAAATAAAGACTATCTCATTTTTTTGAAAGCAATTATTCCTTTCAGATTCACTAACAACTATGATAAATCAACTGAATTTCCTGACCCACAAATTTTGCTTCTCTCAAAACAATGTTCGCATCTCTTCAAATTCTTAATTTCAAAAATCACTACAGCATATTGTCTTGTATGAAATCATAAAATTCAAATACTTTTGTGAATGTTGTGTATTGAAAATTGTTACATTCTATGTTGGTGCCAGGTACACCTACACTCACAAGGCCCATTAAATAATATTTTCCATCCCCAAATTTTACAGCGTAACCTCCACCGCTATCTCCTCCACACACACTTGTACCTACAATAAAAAAACGTGATTAATATATTTATTTAAATAATTACTATATAAATTATAAAATAGCTTTGTTTGCGGCTGACATTTAATAGTGCAGTGAAGGCTCCACACAATGAAATTCTAACTGCAGTCTTTACAGCTTTGAACATTTTTTATAATCTCAATGGTTACTGCAGAAATTTTATAGAAATGCGTAAGGATAGGTAAAAAGAAGTAATCTTCCACAATAAAAATATTTTTGCAGTAATTACAGATCTTACATGCATAGAGGAAGCATTAACATAAATTCATATAAAATGAAATGATACAGTTAAATAACATAAAACTAGATACTTATCCAAATAAAGTGATAAAAAGCGTGGCTGTTAAATGTCACCGCTAACTCGGAAAGGATGAGGGAGAGGAAATGGGGGAGTTGAGGATATTTAATAAAGAGCTATGTTTCATATTGGTTTGGTCATTAAAGCGAGAGGTAGAAGAACTTTTTCCAATTTTTGAATTCTTAAGTTTTACTATATATTTAATTTTTGCTTTTTTTTCAACCTGTAAAATTTTGAAAACCCCATAAATATTTCTAAATTTTTAGACTCTCCTCTACAACGGTGATTCCATCGCAACACTGTGATATTCAGCTTAGTATCCTGAAGTATATTTAATGAAGAGTCGACTTTGCAATAGAAAAACTACTCTTCTCACTATTGATGGTAATTGTAACAAATCTGACAACATTATGCATAAAAGTTAAAGAAAGAAATTTGGTATGGTGTAATGGGGAAAATATGATTATTGGAGGAATTTACAAAACAAATATACCGTTCATCAAGTTGTATATCACTCTTGAAAGAGACGTACCGTTATCATATCCCGCACAAAATTTGTCGTATGTCAGGAATGGAACAAACGAAGGGGGGACTTTCTTCTCACAGATTTGGAAAGCAACATATGGCAACGTTGCCTTACGTAATGTGT